TTTTGAATGAGTTTCCTTCAACGTTTTTACAAAACAATTAAATTGCAACAATAATGTATTTGTGTTTGTTTTTAGTCTGCAGCATTTGTATTTCGAGAATGTTTCAAACTCTTCTAAATTGTGAAACATAATGTGTTGATTCCATTAAAAAAAATATTTGCCCTGTGACTGAGCTCACTAATATTCATAATTGTAAATAAGTTCTGTTAATCAATGAAGGAAAGATATGTAAATCATATGCAAATTATTATGCAAATTAGCCCCGGCGCTATGCATTTTTTCTGGGGAGAACCCTGCATTTATCATATATAAAACTACAAGAACAGAGGGGTAACTTTCTCAATGGTTTGTTCACTATAGATCATGAGTTGAAATAATTAGTTTTTAGTCCCATTTCAATGTAGCAAATATCCGACTGGCAGCCAAGGTAGTTCCAGGGTCATATATACGACTTGCTTTGAACAATCACATTTACATGCAAATCATGAAACAAATTCATGAGCACATGCATTTGTTTCATCATTCACTTGAAGATGGCAGAGTCGAGTGGTGTCAATTTCAGTGCTGAAAATTCTTCGAATTAAGGCATTTCTGCCATTTCAGAACTTACTTAGTTGTACATGGTCATATTATATTCAAACTTGGTATGTCCGTTAAACATAATGGGTCCTTAATGCACGTTATTTTTTTTCCCCAGATTTGATTCCAAATAACTGTCTGATGGCCATTTTGTTTTTAACAAATGCTGCGTTTGGTGCCATATTGCTAACATGCCCGGACTGATCATGTTTAAACATGGCACACATTTGCACATGCATCTAGAATCTGATTCAAGATGGCTGATTTTCATGCTAGAAGTGCATCATGAATGTCATGGACAGAATAAAGGAAGGAATTGCACAAATAAACTGGCTCTACTCTGTATCACTATCATTTCACACGAGTATAAATAATTATTAGGCTCTAATGTTGACAGTCACTAAAAAGTGCACAGGGATATATTGTAATATAGTCAAATGATGTACATGTGCAGTAACATGCTCAGTAGTGCAAAATTTGGATTAGGCTCAAACTGCTATAAAATTACTACCTGGGTTAACAAAATTGCTGAAAAATCCAGAACATGCTTTACTGAGAAAAGGAGGTGTGTGTCATGTTTATAGGTACATACATTTTGTTACAAATGTACCATATAGTTGCTGTATCACGACAAAGAGTTGTTGAATATAGTTAGTTATGGATTAGATCTTAACTGAAACCATCTCAATCACATACATGTGGCTGATTCAAAAGGTCATTTTATACCGGTATTCAAAAATATATTCATACATGTACTTGAACTTCAGCAATATTTCAAGACAAATATTTATTGCTTTCCACATTAAGGAAATTTTTTTTTATTGGTGGTGGTATGATGGAACCTAAACATAGACCCAGCAGCCCTAACGTTCCGGTGTGGCTTTTTATTTCAGAAAAAGGTTTAGACCATGTAGCAGAAAATATTTTGTCATACTTAGATGCAAAATCATTATGTGCTGCTGAGCTGGTGTGCAAAGAATGGTATAGAGTAATTCAAGATGGTATGCTCTGGAAAAAATTAATTGAAAGAATGGTGAGAACGGACCCACTCTGGAAAGGTTTATCGGAAAGGAGGGGGTGGTAAGTATACTATTAGTATTAATCATAGTGAATAAGGATGTGTAATTGAATACAAGATTACAAATATTCCAATGTATGCATATTTCATCTTTATATTCCGCCCTTATGAATCTGCCCAATGGGACTCGTATGAAATACAGGTTAGATGTGAATATCCATGATTTTTGTTACTGAAATGCTGAAGTACCATATTTGCTCTATTTAGTAGCGCATACACTTAAGCAAATGACAGATGATAGTCTATGGTCAAAATATTTATTTAATGGTCCATCCTACAATAAATGCAATTTTTTGGTTTATGTGTGCTTTTATTGGAGATGCACTTCTAATAGAGCAAATACAGTATATGTAAAATCCAATCATCTGTACATTATGCCTGGTGAGGAGCTTTTACTGAAAACCTATTCTATTGTCTATTCTCTAACTGTTTTAACTTGTGTTTTTTTGATAGGAGTCAATATTTATTCCGTCCCAAACCAGGGGAAATTCAACCAACTAACGACTTTTTCCGTAGTCAATATCCTAGAATAATAGAAGACATAGAAGTAAGTACAATTGTATAATTACACTTTTTGTATCAAAATAACAATGTTACAAATATCCATATTTAGAACAGATTTAGGGTGCCGTTTTTATGATTCGTGGGAGATGAGGTAGCTCCTTGGAGCTCAGAGGGCAGACTGGAAACCGCTGGTCTGATTTTGATCACAACCCTAGCCTTTTGTAATTTGGATGCAGTTTCACAAATATTTTTTTTTCTCTTCTCACCAACATAGTTCCTTGAAATACAATATGGGAGCTAATTCTTTTGTTCAGTTTGTGTGATTTTAATTTCGTGAATTTCGCAGTAAGTCCTTAAACGCAAAATTAAAACTACACAAAAATGTTCTGTTTCATGTTGGAATGTAAAACGCAATACTCCATTCAAAACAACACTCACTTCTGGCCCATGATCATACAATCAATGATAAAGTACCTACACACTAGTTTCATACAATGACTGATTGCTGTAAAACCTTGAATATACGCATCATTTTCGAACATTTCAATCGTTCTTGACACCTAAATTATAGTCTAATTTAGGTTTTACCGTAAGTGGTATGTTTATTGGGGTAGCGTGAATGGGTAATCCCTTTTTCGACAGTGAGCTGTTATCACAGTAAACAGTGTTAAATTATTCTTCAAATGCTCAGTTTATCTTTCAAAACAACTAATCATGCTGTTTTCCCCATCAAAATCCAAGCCAAAAGATTGTACTACATCGGTAAATCCCTTTAGTGTTGCGTTCATTAAGATTAACATGTTTAAATGAGCTATGGTAATTTGAACACGTTGATATCATTCAGTACTGTAGAATACTTTATTTTCGCTGGAATTAATTTTTGCTTAAAAGGCTTTTTGGGCGTTTTGCTTGGAATTTATTTTCACTGATTTTTGATGAGTTGAATGTGAAATATAGGAAAAAAAGTATATTCACTGGATTTTATTTTTACGGAATCATCCCTTCAGCGAAAATAAATTCCAAGCGAAAATAAAGTATTCTACAGTATTTTGATTTGTTAACCTGCGACTTGAAATAAAGTGGTGGATATTGTATCGCATCGTTTACATGCGACCAAAATCATTGAATTTTACTTCCATTTAATACCAATTAAACAAATTTTTTTGACGTTACTATAATCACAACTGAGTTTCACATCCCAAGTTATGGCACTGTTCCTTTGGGCATATGTGCAATGCATGTCGCCTTAGTGTTTACTTAAATATTATTTTTATATCACTTACAGGCAATTGAAACAAATTGGCGATGTGGTAGGCATACGCTTCAAAGGATACATTGCAGAAGTGAAAATAGTAAAGGTGTTTATTGTTTGCAGTACGACGACCAAAAAATAGTTAGTGGTCTTAGAGATAACACAATAAAGGTAAGGGCATTTGATGTTCTACTGTTTTTTGTTTGATTTTAGAATAAATCATGACAGTTAAAATTTGTTTCCAAGAGCCAACTTGTCTTCTCTCTCTTCATTTCTGCCTTAATCCTGTTGTAGATATGGGATAGAAACTCATTGGACTGTGTCCAAGTCCTAACGGGCCACACTGGTTCAGTATTATGTTTACAGTATGATGAGAATGTTATCATCACAGGTTCAAGTGATTCTACAGTCAGGTAAGCAAAATATTTTGGTTGGAGATAAAAATCACTGTATTAAGTTGAGGCTATTGATATGTGTACAGAATATTGTGTCAGTATATTTACCACTTCCTCTATCTACACATTTCCAAAATCCTGTGCAGGCTGATATTGTAAAAGTTTTGCCAGATGGAACAATTTTTAAATGTATTTGTTAAAGCAGACTAGATTCCAGGGCTGTACACTAATAAAGTTTATTTTCTCAGTTTGCAGTTGGTATGAGGGCCAAGTTTATTGTTTATGTGTGTGCTTAGCTACTTATTGAGGACATTTTTGTTTTACCATGGACAGAAAGTCTTTGATTTAATTGAATATTTTCTCTTACTATAACAGAGTGTGGAATGTTCATAATGCAGAAATGGTTAATACACTTATACACCATTGTGAAGCTGTTTTACATCTTAGGTTTAATGATGGTATGATGGTTACTTGTTCAAAGGTGAGCCAATTTTAAAGTCATGTGTTGTATGCGTCTTGTGGAAATTTTTTTGTAACACTACACAGGGACACTTGTAGTGATTTAACTTTGCCATAGTTGTAACGCACTTTGTCATTACCCCATTGTTTTAACAATGTATCCTTCTTGAACATTTTTCATATTTGGAAGAATCAGTTTAATGAAGACTGTCTGCACTTCCAATAAATCAAACAGTTATTACAGAACAAATTTGTTCAAGGATCAAACTGGAGTGGACTTTTTAAGAGATATTTTCTATTGGAGACGGAAAATGATACAGTCTCATGTACATCATAAAAAATTGTCAATTTTGTGGTATAAAATACTGATAGTACTGAGGGAATCTTGCATCATGTGCTTACCAGGATGTATAGAGGCATTTACAATATGCCTGACCATGTTGACAAGGAGAACTGTATGCCTGCCTGCCTGCCTGCCTCTCTGTTTCTCTGTCTGTTATTGCATTCATTCAATTTCTAATTATATTTATGGTCATGGAAGTTATCAACACCAACAGCTCAGTAAAATAACTGTTGACTGAATTGTCTTTTCACAGGACCGTTCAATAGCAGTTTGGGACATGCAGTCATCCACAGACATCAATCTACGGCGGGTGTTGGTTGGACATCGAGCTGCTGTGAATGTTGTAGATTTTGATGATAAATATATTGTGTCAGCGTCTGGTGATAGAACAATCAAAGTAAGTTGTTCTTTCTGCTGGTTGTATAGTCAAAAAAGTCAACTTCTATCTTGTTTGAGTGTGCAGACATGAGGGGGTGTTTAAAGCCATTGTTTGAGATTCATCCACCAATAGATACAGTTCTTTTGTGTCATCCAAAACAACATTTCTGCTGCAAAACACATAAAATAAATATGATTATTTTTATAATGTTTTTCAGGTTTGGAGTACGTCAACTTGTGAATTTGTGCGAACTCTTAATGGTCACAGAAGGGGCATAGCGTGTCTGCAATACAGAGACAGATTAGTAGTTAGTGGTTCTTCAGATAATACAATTAGGTTAGTATGTACCGGATTCGGCTGATACCCCGCCCATCCTAAACCCCGCCCATGGGTGATGTTTCAAATAGTGGGTCCACACATTGCCTGACTGAACAAACAAACAAACATTTTTACAGACCCCAATTTTCTCGTCCGACATCTTGTATCGAGCGCGCTATTTCAAATATGACGCTAAAATAATTCACTGTGAAGCCGAAAAGCATTAAAAACGTCAATAAAACCAATGCTGTAAACGAATTGTTGTTGCGTATTATTACACTCGAATAAAGTCTACGCTTGAAAAGAATGTTATTTACGAAGTTTAAAATATCCAAGCCTTCCTTGTTCGAGCCTCTTGGTTGTTATCAGTAATGTTTAATCTTTGTCTGTATCGCATTTCAGACAAAATGTCGGTAAACAAGAAATGGGCGAACTAAAATGTCTCCTGCGTTTCACATGCGACATGATTATTAAAAAACACAAGAGTTAAGCGATCATGTACGTTCTATAAAGCTAACCTTGTACACATAATCTTGTACTGACATGTTTTTTCTCCAAAAAAGACGTTCTCTTTCAGTTAACCCCCAGTTAGCTCTTCGCGTTCATGGTATTTGTGAGAGTTGAAAGTTTTTTTGAACACATGACAAGTAACTATATTGATTTGCGTCAAGCTGGGTGGCCCGAGTTTAAATATCAGTGCGTGAACTCAAACGCG